AAAAAAAAAAAAAAAACCCCACTGAAACTGACTCAAGAAGTTACAGATAATTTAAACAGGTTAAGGGAATTGAATTAGCATTGACACACACACCCCAAACCCAAATGACTTCAGTGGTGAATCCTACCAAATAATCCTTCATAAACTCTTCCAACAAATACGAGAAATCTCTCAGTTCATCCACTGAAGCCCACAACATCACAAGAAAACAAAGTTACAGGCCAAGATATCTTCTGGAGACAAACATAAAAATCCTCAATAACAAAAAGCTAACGGAATCTAGCAACATAAAAAGGATCATATATCAAGATCAAGTAGGATTTCTCCCAGGAATACAAGGTTAGTTCAACACTCAGAAATCAATCTGCATGGATAGGATCTCGGGAAAACCCACACAATCATTTCAGCAGACTCAGAAAAAGCATTTGACAAAATCCAACAACTTTTGTGATAAAGCATTTCACCTAGGAATAGAACGAAACTGCATTAATCTGATAAAAGGCTTCTAAAAATCAATGGCTAACACACTTTAATAGTGAAAGACTGAAAGCCTTCTCCTTAAGGCCAAAACCAGGACAAAGATACCCCATTTCTTGCTGTTTCAGTTCAACATTGTACTGCAGGGTCTTGTGACGGTAATAAAACTAAAAAGAATAAGGAACTACTGAAGATGATGACCAAGCAGGAAAACTGACTACCATTTCATGATTTCTTTCTTGGTGGTTAAGGGGAGATTAATGGACTAATCAACAAAAAACTAAACACGTTTACAGGGAAGACAATGAATTTGATTTTGTGTATTCAGTCTACCATGAGCTAAGGGCAAAGAGAAATACAAAGACAGATGAGGGGAAAAGACTCAGGAAAAACACCACAACAGGATCTAGGTTACAAGTAGAAAGTGTAGAAAGTGGTGCAGGGGTACATTTTCCTATGACTAGGGAAGGAAGCAATGGATTATAAGGAACAGGGAAAGGACCTAAGGGAGTGTGGAATGATTTACAAGTTAACCAGGATGCCCATGGTCTTCTCAATGAAGGAGGTGAAAAAAGGAGATCACTGATTCGGGGTGAATAAAAGTACATATTATTAGCAGTTCTGAGTACTAAGGAAAGTGTGGATACTATGAATGAAAAATGGTTAGTGGTTTTAGATCAGATACGAAAATTTGACAAACTTTTGTTACCAGCCTCACTTAGGATCTAATAGAGTCTTATTAGGTAAAACACTAAAATCTCTATAGGGCAGCTATATCTTTACTGTTAAATATGCCAATCTTTCAGAATCAAAGGGAAACATAATGACTTTAATAAACCAGATAGGCTGGGGATTTAGCTCAGTGGTTTCGCCACCTGCTGCACAAGCACAAGGACACGAGTTCGATCCCCGGTACCAAAAAAAAAAAAAAAAAAACCCAGATAAAACACAAAACAATGATTTGCCAATAAAATTAGCAAGACAATATCTACAAATACAGGGGCCCAGAATTTAGCTCAGTGGTTCTGCTGCCTGCTCCACAAGCACAAGGACCCGAGTTTGATCCCTGGTACCAGAAAAAAAAAATCTACAAACACAACCAGCAATTAAGAAGGGCTTACTGGATTAAACAGTCTAAATATAAATTACATGCCAAGAGAAAACACACTAACTAGTAAATTTATATTTTTATTTTTGTCTTTTTTTTGGTACCAGGGATTAAACTCAGGACCTTGAGCCTGTGAGGCAGGCACAATGCCACTGAGCTAAATCCTCTGCCCTTTATTTTGTCTTTTGAGACAGGGTCTCACTGAGTAGTCCATGCTGGCCTCAAATTCACAGCGATCCTCCTGTCTTGGTCTCTCGAGTGCTGAGACTACAGGGGTGTACCACCACAACTGGCTGTATTTTTCTCATGAAATCCCATATTCTATTTATTTTGGTAACACTGTACTAAAAGATCTTCTACAACTTTCCCCAACAGAAATCTTAAGCAGATGAATTTCTTTTCTTTTTTTTTTGGTACTGGGGATTGAACTTCGGACCTTACACTTGCGAGGCAGGCAGTGGCACCAGTGAGCTAAATCCCCAGCCCAAGCAGATGAATTTCTTAAACCACTGTTGACTGAGTACATAAGGACAGAATGTGTATATATGAACACACACACACACACACACACACACACACACACA